AGGGACGCAACTCTGCACAGCGAATCGCGGCGCCTTAGACGACTGGGCCACCCGTGCCCCTACGAACAATACAAGTAGGCTGCTTCAACAGCGTTATTACTGCGTCACACGCCTCTTGATATTTCCGCTTACACAGACTGTCTGTTAGTGGAACGCGGAATGGGAAGATACCAATTGACCGCCCATTACAACGTTTAACAGCATTGGTTGGGAAGTTGCAACCGGGTCATGTCATAAATCACACAGACAATGAATTCTTTCAAAGCATGTTTTGAATTGATCAATAAACACACTGTAATATTATCTTCATATATACTTATACAATAAAGGGCACCAGTCGTCTTAGGAGAATCTTCCAGAGGCAAGTGAGTTAACTGACTATAAAAGTCCAGTTTCCACCCTTGCCGAACTAGGCTGGTATTATGGAGTTACAATTTGGCTGGACTAACGAGTCTATGCGTAGTCCAATCAAAATCGCTCACCGAAATCATGCAGATTTCGGTCGACTGCAGGATTTGCAAAGCATGTGCACCGCTAACTCGTTGTCAATAGATATTTTCTAAATCTTTTCCTGTTTTTAATCAAGGTGCTCACGTGATTTGATGCACTTCGCGATGTAAGACTCGTATTATCACAATATAGATCTTGATTATCGATCAGATCGTCTTGACTGGGCGCCACCGTTTTGTTTGAAGCAAATGCAAGTGATACGAGAGGTTGAATCTGATTGGTCAATAGGAGAGGCATAGAAAGGTAATAGCCACTGGTGGCGCTACGATCGAGCCCAGGAATTCCAGCCAAGTTCGGCAAGGGTGGAAACTGGACTTTTAAAGTCAGTTAACTCTCTTGCCTCGGGAAGATGTCTTAGGAGCTGCAGTTCGCTGTGCAGATTTGAGGCTTTTGAGGGTTCCTGACATCTAGGATTGTGGGTTCGAATCCGGTTCGCCCTGATTATGTTTCTAGGTCTTTCATCACCTTAATGCCCGTGCTCGTGGGTTTCACCATAGTGGCAAACGTCTAAGACCTGCATCACTTTGGGCTTCCACAAAAGAGCAAACACGCCGTGGTGTCACTGAAATACTGTTTAAACCAAACACCCTCCCTCATCCCATCCTGGCCTGCAGACCGCACCCACTAAACTTTGCTTACATTTGTACCACCTGACACACACCTTGTAGGTATAACGGGTTACAGTTGAGTGTGAGTGAGTGAGTTAATGCTTTACGTCACATCGGCAATATTTCAGCCATATCGTGACGAGAAATTATACATTTTTAATACATATATTTTAACTAAATAAAAACCTGTCATCGATGGACAGTAAAATTACTAGAATATCACAGATTAATATTTAAACCTAGCATTCAACTAAAAAAAGATATCATTATAATTAACGGTACAATATAAAAAAGGGCTATAGATCGCTAGCAGCTGAAGGTAGATCACCATACTAGGGTTTGTTGGTTGGTTGGTTTGTTGTTTAACGCCGCACTCAGCAATATTCCAGCTATATGACGGCGGTCTGTAAATAATCGAGTCTGGACCAGACAATCCAGTGATTAATATCATGAGCATCGATCCACGCAATTGGGATCGATGACATGCATCAACCAAGTCAGCGAGCCTGACCACCCGATCCCGTTAGTCGCCTTTTACGACAAGCATACTCGCCTTTTAAGGCAAGCATGGGTTGCTGAAGACCTATTCTACCCCGGATCTTCACGGGTCACCATACTAGGGACCATGGGGACTTACAGTACTTTAGCTTCCTGCATGGACCCTAGCAGGATTTATGCCATCCCTTCAGCTGCTGGCGATTGTATGCAAGTTTATTCTCAACCCTTTTATCCAGACGTTGCTTATAATATCAATCAAGGGTTTGTCTGGTCAAGACCCGGTCAGTTACAGACGCCTTGATATATCTTTAATCTTGCTGTATGTTTAAACAAACAAACAAACAAACAAACAAACAAACAAACAAACTGCTTGACTCTGGTGTGTGTTGCCATGATAACAGCACATGTCCCCCATGGCGCAAATGAAATATCGCTGACTGCCGCATAAAACTAGTTTGACGTCGAGATCTGGATGCTATTTTCCCAACAAGTGCATTCATGTCGTGACAACTAAACAACTTTTCGTTTTACATATCCAGCATGTATACTGTTTATATCCCTCCTAATCGCCTGCGGTTTCACATATTTGTTTTCTTAACAGATACAAATAAATCAAAGAGAAGACTTTAGAAAGTCCGGTAAAAAATGCCATCGACGCATTAACAGAGTGGATCTTTCCAAACATTGTTTTTGAAACAAAGCCGAAAATTATGTATCCGAAGTGAACTTGCTTGGTATTGTATGTTTAAACTTCCACACCACCGCGTCCTAAGCCGGATTTCATTCAGAACAGCGTGGTCTGGCGTATATTGTTTTAAGCCATGCAAACACAGTTGAATTTTCAATTTCTACCACATGGAACTTTACCAAGTATAACACAAGCAAGTAGAAACACATTACCCCCGTGGCACGCATGCGCGCCATATGGATATTCATAACTTTTGCATAATGTGCGTTAACTCAGAAAAATGAAACTTTAAATTAATTAAATATGTTAACAAACATTCAATTGTTCACTACTACCTAAAATACCTTCCTAGCATTAACGTTTACATTTACAAATCTAATTAAGTTAAATGGATTTAATTTGAAATTTAAAGTAATAGAGCTCCTATAAATCGTTTGGCTAGTTAAAGCGGATCGACTCTCAGGTCTGCCGTCCATTTCCAGTCAATGGGTAGACGTTATTCGTGCCCTGTGTGAACTCGATACATTGTTGCTTTGTGATTTGGGTAGTTATTAACTGGTAGATTGATTTTACCATAAATCATACAGCGAAGAGCAGACAAAATGGTGCGTGTGTCACCTGAAGCAAACTTGGCGGGATTGTCAGTTAGGTCGAGATTGTAGAGCATGTTTAAAGTCACAACTGAATTGACGAAAGTACTTTAACAATTTTCATTTTCCACATAAACTTAGGCTTCAATCCAACATACATAAAACCTATATTTTGATACTTTAAGCTACATGAGTGTATTTGTCCAATTGGAATGTGTAAACTTCTATGTATGCAAACCATGGCGAGCACTGGGGTGTAGTGTACGGAACTGGGAGCACTTAATACTATTTGCCGCACGACCTTTAACATGTCATAATGTTGAACAGGCGCGTTCGAAAAGTACACGACGTGCACTACACAATGAACAGGGAGAATATTACAAACAGTGTTTTAGCCGGAGGATTGCTAAATAACGTCTCATTATATTATAATATTTTTTCAGGACCTTTCATTAAAAAGGTAAATCAACTGACAAGACAAAGTTTATCCAACGTGGATGGCTTACTGAGTCCTCTCTTATGTGATTACATATGGTGTCAGGTAACACATGATTTCATTTCTTAAATAAGACAGGTACCTTTTTAGTGTCTGAATTTTAACATTTGATAGAGGTAAGAGTATTTCTGTCTTTGAGAAAACGAGAATAAACACCTGTTGGGGAAGAGTATCCGTGCCTTATGTTTAATAAACCAAGTTTACCATCGAGAAGAAAGATCAATTTGGTTTGCCGTGCATATCTGCTTCTGATTCGAACTGTTACTATACAGGCGTTGTCTGTCCCTGAAGTGAGTGAGTGAGTGAGTATGGTTTTACGCCGCTTTTAGCAATATTCCAGCAATATCACGGCGGGGGACACCAGAAATGGGCTTCACACATTGTACCCATGTCGGGAATCGAACCCGGGTCTTCGGCGTGACGAGCGAACGCTTTAACCACTAGGCTACCCGACCGCCCCTGTCCCTGGAGACTTGTCTATGGACGTTGGTCATCTGTACCTTGGAAACTAATGTTTTGTGTGGCATTAAGCCTGGACTGTATGTATGATATGATCCAACTTGGTCTACTGTGACATTTGTCGCTAATTACTTTATGTACCCAAATTTAATTTGATGTAAAAGGTGAATTTTGTTCTTCAGATAGTCTGGACCTTTGTACATTTGGTTTTGAAATATTTGACGGCATTTTGTTCTGTTGTACACTTGTTCTGAGATATATGACGGTATTTTGTACCGTTGTATAGATGTTCTGAGATAAAAGACCGCATTGTGTACCGTTGTACACTTCTTCTGAGATATAAGACGGCACTATCTACCGTTGTACATATGGTCTGAGATAGAGGACGGCACAATCTACCGTTGCACACATGGTCTGAGATATACGACGGCACTATATACCGTTGTACACTTCTTCTGAGATATAGGACGGCACAATCTACCTTTGTACACATGGTCTGAGATATAGGACGGCACTATGTACCGTTGTACACATGGTCTGAGATATATGACGGCACTATCTACCGTTGTACACATGGTCTGAGATATAAGACGGCACTATATACCGTTGTACACATGGTCTGAGATATAAGACGGCACTATATACCATTGTACACATGGTCTGAGATATAAGACGGCACTATCTACCGTTGTACACATGGTCTGAGATATAAGACGGCACTATATACCGTTGTACACATGGTCTGAGATATAAGACGGCACTATATACCGTTGTACACATGGACTGAGATATAGGACGGCACTATCTACCGTTGTACACTTGGTCTGAGATATATGACGGCACTATCTACCGTTGTACACTTCTTCTGAGATATATGACGGCACTATGTACCGTGACGGCATTGTATACTTATACAAGTGTTTTATGAAGGCATTTTTCTGTTCTAAAAAATATAAAGACGACAAACATTGCACACACTGCATAACCTTCTATCACATAATTTCTAACCGAAATCCTTAAATTACACAAGTCTAGTAAAACATAAAAAATGGAGATTTTAAAGTTAATAAATTTTCAGTTTTATAAAATAATGAAATTGTACGATGAATTGAACTAAGTTCGAATCAGTTACAAGTATATTTGTCACTTACCATTAAGGCTGCCTGCTCCCACTGCAAAGTGCTTCCCAGACTAGCGGCCACCTTTGCTATTGTTAAGCTGTGAGCCTGGCGGTGACAGACCAAACAGCCCGACTAAACTGCATCCTGTTACAGCGGAGTCAAAGTAGGTTGAGACTGCCGAATTCCTAGTTAAGAGCGCGATTTGATCAGCTGAGGTAGGAGCCAATCGGATTAAACAAACGTTGCATCACGTTTTAATACTCCAAAGGGCTTATGAATGATAAACATTTTGTTTCAATGAGGCTGCATAAAAAAATATATTTCTTGGGTACATTTTTCTCAGAAGCGAGGAGGTTTGTAAGCATTTTTTTATATTTCTGTATTTTGTTAATTTTTTAATTGAAAACAAAGGTGATGAGGGAGGAGAATTTTGTTTAACCAATAATACCATCAAACACAAGTGGGTGCACATTGAGCTTCTTGTATAATGTCAGTTGTCAAGCATGTATCGCAGTCTGCTTCAAATGACGAACACATATTGAAAAACAATCTTTTTATTGGAAGTAAAAAATACTGCACAGGATATAAGGTGACGCGCCGACCCCCGAGAAACACTTCCTTTATTCTACAACAACAACAACAACAACAACAACAACAACAACATGATGATGATGATGATGATGATGATGATGATGATGATAATAATAATAATAACAAGAACAATAATAATAATTAGAACACAAGTACAATTGCCACATTTCATTTGTTTGTTTATTTGTTTGTTGTTTAACGCCGCACTCAGCAATATTACAGCTATATGACGGCGGTCTGTAAAATAATCGAGTCTGGACCAGACAATCCAGTGATTTACATCATGAGCATCGATCCATGCAATTGGGATCTATGACATGTATCAACAAAGTCAGCGAGCCTGACCACCCGATCGCCTTTTACGACAAGCATGGTCAGTCACCTTTTACGGCAAGCATGGGTTGCTGAAGACCTATTCCATCCCGGAATCTTCAATTGGTTGGGATAATTTATCAGGGAAGAGTAAAATTCACATACACACATGTAAACTTGGAATCCAGTTGATTTTGGACAAGGTTATTTGTCAGGGGTGAAGAGAAGGTGATGGGTGCGTTTTTTACTCGTTTCAGGCAATCTTTGAGTCGTACTTCCCCGTGGGAATTCGGTGCAGACTAGGTCGCCAGTACCGCCGCAGCTTAATGGCAAGAGTCGGATGGGATCCGCGTTATACTCAGGGACCATCGTCCAGTGTTTGTAGGACGGTGGAAGGCCTTGTGGTTAAGCGTTCGCTCGTCACGCCAAAGACCCAGGTTCGATTCCCCACAGGGATACAATGTGCTTAGCCCATTTCTGGTGTCCCCTGCCGTGATATTGCTGGAATATTGCTAAAAGCGGCGTAAAACCATACTCACTCATCCCATGTTTGTAAGATCCAACTGTTGATGGATATTGTTGGTACCACGCTGAGTGTGTATTGTCTAAACTGGAAAAGTATGAGGATTAGAATTGGTACCCATGCTATCTGCCGCATTCTGCTACAGGTTTGTCTGACCCAGATCGGATTATTTTCATGCGGCTGATAACGGTGAATGTTGACGACTGCAGCGTAAAGCAACTTTCAACTTGTAGTCCTTCAATGGGTGTGTGAGTTTGGCTTTATGCCGAATTCAGCAAAATTCTAGCAAATGTGACGCCGGAGACACCGATGTGAGGAATCCAAACCGGGTCTTGGCGTAACGGGTGAAAGCATGATGCACTAGACTACTTCAGGGACCCATTCCCTCAATATTTGTTTGTTTGTTTGTTTAACGCCGCACTCAGGAATATTCCAGCTAAATGACGGCGGTCTGTAAATAACCGAGTCTTGATCAGACAATCCAGTGATTGACATCATGAGCATCGATCCACGCAATTGGGATACGATGACATGCATCAACTAAGTCAGCGAGCCTGATTACCGTATCACGTTAGTCGCCTCTTACGACAAGCATAGTCGCCTTTTACGACAAGCATAGTCGCCTTTTACCATTCCCTCGATGAGTACATATGGATGCGACAGTCATTGGACTGATGACAAGAAGCATCACACTAGCAGGTATTAATGACCTTAATACATGCTGTCCCCGTTAGAATTGGTCTTCATGCAGCAAACCGTGCTTGTCCTAAATGGCGAAAGACGGGATTGGGGGGGGGGGGGGGGGCAGGCTCCCTGACTTGGTAGACTGCATGTCATCGTATCCCAATTGCGTGGATCGATGCTCATGGTGTCAATCATTGGATTGTCGGGCATAAGATATAGGCTGGTCGTGTAATAGGCGACTAAATGGATCGGGTGGTCAGGCTCGGTAACTTGGTCGATGGCGTGTCATCGTATCCGAATTGCGTAGATTGATGCTCGTTAGACAAAGAAACACAAAGAGGTGAGGTGAAATGGGGTTTAACGTTGCGATTATTTCGACGTGTGTGTGTGTGTGCGTGTGTGTGCGCGCGCGTGTGTGCGTGCGTGCGTATGTGTGTGTGTGTGTGTATGTGTGTGTGCGTGCTTGTACTAGTCCACTGAGATACCATGCCGCAATTTAACATGAATATCCCCACTCAGACACAGTATACTGACTCCGAGCCGACTAGTCCTTGTTTTAGCCCCTTAATGCCGAGCACCAGGCTGGGTAACAACAAGTACCGTCTGTTGGTATGAGGCCGCCGGGGAACCCCCGACCTTCAGCTCTCGGGGCAGTCGGTCCACAAACAAAAAGAGACAATCCCCAGTAAGCCATAGCCTAACTCTCCTTTGAAGCGTTCGCTCGTCCATACCTATAAGACCTGATTGGATTCCCCCATATTGGTACAATGTATAACGCCCATCCTTAGTGTCTCAAGGGACGGTCGTGTAACCTAGTGATTAAAACCTTCGCTCGTCACGCTGAAGACAGGGTTCGATTCCCGACATGGGTACAATGTGTTAAGCCCATTTCTGGTGTCCCCCGCCGTGATATTGCTGGAATATCACTAAAAGCGGCGTAAAACCATACTCATTCACTCACCTTAGTGTCTTAAACCGTGGTATTTTTACCAAACACTGCACAAAACTCTCTTAGTCTGTCTTACAGACCCTGATACAAATATATATCAAATACAGCCAATGCAAGTCTATAATGTTTGGCAAGTCTAGATTACTGCAGCAAGAGTCTCTGAGCTCCCTTTTAATATATTTTTATTAAGATAATTGAACAACTGTTGTTGTTTTTCTGTACGATATGTTCATTTCAGAGACTAGATGTTAGCCTAAAAGAGCTCTGTTCAGCATGAAATAAGGGCCCCTAGACTAAAATCTAGTCTCTGAAATGAACATGATACTGCAGTGATCTAGGCTTGCCAAACATTATAGACTTGCATGGGCTGTATTTGATATATATTTGTATCAGGGTCTGTAAGACAGACTAAAGGGCCCCATACAGCACACCGTCCATTACACTTTGTAAAGAATACCGCCTATTTATAATTAAAATTTAAGACGGCATGATGTGTACAATGGTGTAGTTAAAATTGATTCAGCATGCTATAAATTTTCTTCAGGGAGTTGGTTATTTAGGATCTCTTGTCAGTTGACCCCTGGAGGTTTCGAGAAAGGTTCACAGAACTGACAAGGGTCGCGCTAACAAAGCTGTCAAGCCAATCGGGCGGGGAATGCGTTCAACGTGGGGCACCGGATCGGCGACCTCTGATCGTTTGAGAAACAGATACCTGATTTTGGCAAGGCGAGTCGTCTACTCAGAACATGTGTGGGTTAACGGGACAGGGTATGGGTTATGCTTCCAATTAGGGGACTGAATAACAAGCCGGGAACGCTCAGGGTCAAGACATTCAGTTTAGAGTGAGTGAGTCAGTTGGGTTTAACGCCGCTTTTAACAGTATTCCAGTTATATCGCGGCGTGTCAGCTTAATTAATGTGGGAGGAAAGCCCGAAGTGATGCAGGTCTCAGACGTTTACCACTTCGGTGAAACCCTGATTACGTACAGAAACCCCGATTACGCACAGAAACCCTGATTAGGCACAGAAATCCTGATTTCGTACAGAAACCCACAAGTACGGGTATGGTGCTGACAAACCTAGAAACATAATCAGGGCGAATCGGGATTCGAACCCACAATCATAGGTTTTTGGCATGCCCAAGGGACGCAACTCTGCACAGCGAAACGCGGCGCCTTAGACGGCTGGGCCGAAACGTCATAATAAAGAGTTGTTCATCCATAAATCTTATCCTTACTTAACTCTTTCCTCTTCGAGTGTATAAGCATGTCCGATCAGAGGTAACGGAGATACCCTGATTATGCATAAAAACACTGTTGGCGTATAGAAACCCCGATTTACGTATAGAAACCCAGAAAACTAACAGAAACCCTGATTACTCACAGAAACCATGATTACGTACAGAAACCATGATTACGTACAGAAACCATGATTACGCACAGAAACCCTGATTAGGCACAGAAACCCTGATTACGTACAGAAACCCTGATTACGCACAGAAACCCTGATTAAGCACAGAAACCCTGATTACGTACAGAAACCCTGATTACGCAAAGAAACCGTGATTACTCACAGAAACCCCGATTACGCACAGAAACCCTGATTACGTACAGAAACCCCGATTACGCACAGAAACCCTGATTACTCACAGAAACCCTGACTACGCGCAGAAACCCTGATTACGTACAGAAACCCTGATTACGCACAGAAACCCTGATTACGTACAGAAACCCTGATTACGCACAGAAACCCTGATTACGTACAGAAACCCTGATTACGTACAGAAACCCTGATTACGCACATCAACCCTGATTACGCACAGAAACCCTGATTACGCACAGCAACCCTGATTACGCACAGAAACACTGAAGCAAATTTGAAATAAAAGTCTACAGCTGACTATTGTGTCCTTACAACTTTGAATTTCCACCAAACAATTACACGGATACGTCGGACCATGTGTGTCTATCGATAACAAGTTCAGGATTTCCGTTTATTTTTGTTGTTGT